TAAATACAAAGCTTTCTAAGATTCAGAAAGGAAGGGAAACTAAGCCCTTGTTTCATTCAGTCTTTCAAAGTACAAGAGCAAATTGGTACAACTGCCTACGAGATAGCAGTACCATCGGAGTTGTCAGGAGTTCACAATATCTTTCATATATTAATACCATGTAAGTACCATTCTAACCTCATCCATGTGCTACAATATGTAACCACACCACTAGAAAATGATTTAACCTATGAAAAAGTACCTATGCGCATATTGGATTGAAAGGAGGAAACACTAAGAAACAAGTAATACCACTAGTTAAAGTCATGTGACAACATCACTCTCAAGTGGAGGCAACATGGGAGCTTGAGGAGACGATGAGGGTGAACTATCCTAATTTGTTTAAGAAGGTCTAGCAAATTTGGGGACCAAATTTATTTTAAGGGAAAATATTGTAACAGCAAAGAAAAGGAGAGAAAATAAAAAAGGAATAAAATAAATGGAATAATAATCATAAATAAATAAATAAATAAAAGAAAAGAAATCGTAAGGGGGAAGAGAGAGGCAGAGAAGAAGAAGAGGGAGAAGAAGAAGAAGGGAGGTGCGACAAGCAACTGATCCTTGCGAGGCGAAGAAACGACGGCCAAAGAAGAAGGCTTGCACGCGATCGTCGTGTGACGTGCTGGAAAGAAAAAAGTTGCGTTGCAACAAGAGAAAAGAAGGGATGGGCGATGAACAGAGGGCATATTCTTTCTTGGCACACAACACGATGGCGGAGAAGGAAACTTGAAGGTGTGTGTGCGGCGGGGAAGGAGCAGCTAGACAGTGGATAGGCCAAATCCTGACAGATTGGCAAGATTCATTTCGGACTAGCACGCTGCGACTTTCTGGGCGATTTTTGCTCATTCGTGGCGGCGAGTGCTGACTCCAGCAAAGGCTCATATGGTGTCGCTTAGGATTCCAGTTCTTTTTCCAACCAAACTCCAAGTAAGAATATCTCAACCCTCTCTGTAATTGTTTAATCGAAATTTGGCCTTTAAATCGCCTAAAATTGATTACGACTTTGAATTTAACTTATGTGAGATGTCGATGGTGATGATTAAACTAATTTTATATGAGTGTTGGTATATAACTGATTGTGCAACTATATTTAGTTATTTGGAATTTTATATTGCATGATAGGTGGATATACTTTGCAGGTCAACGTGTGGGAAAGACCATTCATGATTGTTTGTGTTAGTGGGATACGTGTGTCGATTTATGTACCCATGTTGTGGTGAGTGTGCATTTTGTTATATGTGTCTATTAAGAATGTACGCATCAGTGTAGCTGTATAGATAAAGGGTGAATGCGATGAAATATAAATGTATATATAAATAATTTATATATATATATAAAATGCACAAGCCAAATACCTGTTAAATAAATTATATTTAATTGTTTATATTTAAATATAAATAATAAATTGCGTGTGTTTGACATATATATACGCATGAGACTGTCTGCTTAATATACGGTGTGTGTGTGCGCTTTATATGTACATATACGCGTAGTTGGGTGTGAATTTTCATTTTAAAACATAATTATAATGTTTGAGTTCTAAAGTTGGAACATGAAACATAAATAATCCTCGAAGAGGAAAAAGCTTACCTGATATCATGGAAGAGAGTGTACGGACTTGGTATATATATGGTGAACCCTAACCTGGATGTGTCCTCAGTTGTACGGGATTGAAAAATCTCATACTGGACGGGGTTGGGAGTTGGTTAAATAACACTCATATCGGATGGGATATTGAGTCGGTTTATAATTATGGTGCCCATTACAGGACGAGGTATGGAGACGATCGATGATTACAAAGGAAATGTTTGTGTACCCACGTGTAGCTAAAATCCCTATGGGTGCCCAGTGATACAGTAATGGAAATGACAACAAGTAATGAAAATAAAAATGGTAAATACCCTTGCTCAAGTAAAATGATAAGGAACTCAAAGTTTCACATTTGTTGATATGCGTATTGATTATGTTTCTTACTACGATTCTAACGATATTTTAATGTTGTATATGGATGATTGGTTGAACTAATAGTATTGTTTTCTTTTTTTAAAATGAAAGCTACCTGATTACATGTCTAATATGGTTGACGGTATTTGTAAATATAAATGAGGTTAGTTGAATATAAATTTGATATGATATGATAATAATTACAAGAAAACATGAAATTGTAATGAAAAGCAATAATGGGAACATTCTCTTTTAAGAGGGGTATGAAATGAGAAAATTAAACATGTTTATAAGTTTAAAGTTCGTTTTATTAAAGTAAATATTTCATCGGCTATTTTATCGTTTTCTACATCACTTTGATGAACCATTACGTTGTTTGGTTTTTATATTCTTATTGAGTTAGTGTAACTCACTCAATTCACTATTCTTTCTAGATTAAGACATTCAGGACTCCGCTCCCAGATGATGAGAGATTCACTAAGAGATTGTTCCACTCCATCTTACCTAAATTTGGATAGTAATTAAAGTTATCTATGTCATTGTGGTAAGTATTTAATTCAGAGGTTAGGCACACCTCATGAATTTTGGACATTTTAACACTAAGTTGTATAAGAAATGTATCTTTAAATCTTTAAATATTAGTTGTGCGAGATATTTCTGTAAATTATTTACCATTATACAGTGGGATGCGATCAGAACTCTAAATGAAGAGTTTGGATCATTACAATCATATTCTCATATTTTACTGCTATCATACGCTAATCTTTATCCTACCAACAAAAGCGGTGCCGGTACACTATCCTATTGCCTCATGTTTTATTTTTTTATTGCATGGTGATTGTTGACGCAGCAAACAGTGTCCTATTATATATCAAACTCTAATCATATTGATTTTAACATCCCAACAACTCTAAAATAAATACAAGCAGCCCATAAATTAAGTTTCTTTCCTGATAATCTTTATATATTATCGACATTTGTATGTATATAATGTTTAAAGAGTTGTTAATATATATATATATATATATACACACATATACTTATAAAGCAGTTTTATAGCTTTTACTAAGAGTTTCTTTGAAGCTACTCCAAGCTGGTTTTACGTGATTCTCCAATATTCTAATTTTGTTTTTGTGACAACAAATCAAGTAGGTAATGTTTTGGCTTGCCTGAGCCACGAAAGATGTTTTATGGTTTATCAATAATTAATTAATCAGGTGGATTAAGTTCTAAGATACTTGCAAATTTAGGATTGATGTAAACGTGTATATATACATATTAGCTCATCCATGCAAATGTTTATTAGTAAAAAGTATTTATTAATTAAGTTATGTACATACATTTATTATCAATGAGAATACAGAATACAACTCAACTCTAATCTACATTAAATTATTAAATTAATCAATCATACTTTTAAAAAGAGAAATATAATAGGATTTAAAAAATTGAAAACAGAAATATGATGAGTTAGGAAAATAATTTTTTTTTTTTTTTTTATTTTTATAAAAGGAATGGGTCTATTGAAATTGGGCTTATAACGTCAGCCCAAATATACAATAAATATGGGCACTAAATTCCAATCAACCTCTACCTGTGTTGTATAATCTTCAAAGCTCACTGCCTGTTTGAGTGTTAATATGGCATGCAGATATAATTTATAGTTCTAAACTGACAATTTTAATATATTTTTCAAATTAATTAATATTTTTTAAAATTATAATATGTACACTTAACATAATATAAAGGTATAATACTGTTAATTATTTGAACTGAAATTTTGTCCAAAAGATTATGTATTAAATTAAAAATTACATAATATAAATAAAAGGTTCCGTCCAAATTTATAAAAAAAAAAAAAAAATGATGGTTCTCTAAGTCTTCTTCTTATTGGATAGCCTACAGGTATTAAGATAAGAACTGTATATCTATCAACCTCTCCTTTCTTTCATTTATAGCAATAAATTCGTTGCACATGCTCTCCTCTCACTCACATTGTATCCATCAATTACTATTTATACAAATGAAAAGAAAAATCTAAGCAAAGATGGTAACTAAATCACTGCTTCACATGACATACTTACTATATGACCTGTATATATACTACTAGTACATGTAGTTAAATATGTATTAATATTTTATGGCGTAAGTACCTAAAGAACTGTATGTATAGGTTGTGGGTAAATTACTTGATTTGGATGAATATTAAATATGGTGTTGAGGCAAAGGGAGGGTTGGTTTCCAAACTATGTTTGCTTCTGCTTTGTTGGTTTCCTTCTAAATTTAATTCTGCACTCTTTTACATTCACCTTCTATCATAAACTCCACCAACTCAATTAACCTTATGCAATTTGCAATATATTATACATATACATACATATATATACTTACATCTGCAAATTCCCATTACACATAACTCGACAGCAATGTGTACGGCCCAACTTAAATCTAACTCTAAATTTAAAATTATTAAATCTTACTTTGAGTTTATCTTGTATTAAATTCAATATATACCAACATTTTCTAATTTTTAATTTTATTTCCCATTTCTTTCCAACCACTCTATTTATTTATTTTTTCCTAAAAATAAATTTAATATCAAAGGAAATTAATTTATGTTATTAAATGGATGGCTAAGATTATGCCACGTAGGATCAAGATTTTCTGAACTGTCAGTTTGATTCTCGGCTTTCTGCCTTTTTTTTATTTTTATTTCGTAAATTCGATGTATCTTTTCACGTATTTCGAACCTTCGAACCAGGTTGTGTGCATGTTTGTTTCGTCGGCAATTGAAGCCGCTCAAAATCATGCGTGTCGATGTAACGTCGATCATCCATTAGTTGCCGGCCACGTGTCCAAAGAGGGCATTTTAGTAATTGAAAGGACTAACTGAAATGTCTAAACTACCCTCCAAATCTAGAAATATGGCTACTGTGTACACCTAAACAACAAGAAATGTTATTCGGCTCTTTTCGCCAAAATGAATTTAAATTAAAAAAAAAAAAAGACAAAACAAAAAGAGAGAGAGATTAGAAAATGGAAGTAAGGAAATTGGAGTTATGAAAATAAGGAGTGATGATGAGAATGCAGAATTCCAAAGTCGAAAATCAAGCGATTCCACATCGTAATTATCACCTTCCATTGATGATTCCCCAAATCCAACGTCCCTTGATTTACCTTCTTCCTGCGCTCTCTCACTCCCTATAATTTCTCTCTTTGTCACAGTCGTCTTCCTCTCAGCTGTTCTTGACCCGCTCTCTCTCTGTCTCTGTCTCTGTCTCTGTCTCACTGCTCTCTCTCTCTCTCTCTGACTCAATTCGCTCTTTCATTCCCTTCTTTTATCGTTTTCTCCCTGTAGATCTCTCTCTCTGTCTCTCTCTCACTCCATTATTTTAATCTCTCTCTGGTTTTAATCAGATCCGCGGTGAACTTATCTTCGCCGTCCGATGCCTCGACTTTGACTCAGTCCTTTAATCGGATACAGCGCCGGAGCACGATCTTAAGATGGGTCAGTGTTACGGTAAACCTAATCTCAAGGGCGATACTGGAGAAACTAACGCCAATACAACCACCTTCGTCGTCTCTGGTGATCGCAATCAGGTGCCCTCCACTCCTGCTAACGGCTCCGTCGGAGTGCAGTCCGTGAAGAACACTCCCGCTCGCTCCTCCAACCAGAGTCCGTGGCCCAGCCCCTACCCCCATGGAGTGTCAGCCAGTCCCTTGCCTGCTGGTGTCTCGCCGTCGCCAGCTAGAGCTTCTACTCCCAGGAGATTCTTCCGCCGGCCTTTTCCTCCACCATCTCCTGCCAAGCACATCAAGGCGTCCCTGGCTAAGCGTTTTGGCGGTGGGAAGCCTAAAGAGGGGCCGATCCCCGAGGAGAGAGGAACCGAGCAGGAGCAGTCGCTGGACAAGAACTTTGGTTACAGTAAGAATTTTGGAGCCAAATACGAGCTCGGAAAGGAAGTAGGGCGAGGACATTTTGGGCATACTTGCTCTGCCAAAGTTAAAAAGGGCGAGCTCAAGGATCAGCCTGTTGCAGTTAAGATCATTTCCAAAGCCAAGGTAAACTGCCATTATCTTTCTCACTTGTACTGTTTCGCGACGGATTGTGTACATTGCTCTCATTTGAACAAAAGAGTGTTTAGCTGATTTTGCAATTTGTTAGTGTTTTTCTTGGGGAATTTGTTTTGGGACTTCAATTTCAACACTTTTGGTAGTTGGTCTTGAAGGTTTTACATTTTCTTTCCCCTTTTCTTTCTAAATTTTATAAGTTAGGATGTGCCTTAACATTTCAGCTTGTTGAAAAATACTTAATCTCGGATCTTTTATGCGTATGGAAAAGTTTCTTAATTGGTGCAGCTAATATAGTTACTTCAAAACCATGCATCTGCTAAGGATAGGTCTCAAATAATAACTTGTCTTCTTCGAAAGCTTGGGGAAGTAGGGTTCCAATTTTCCAGATATGTCTAGTTAAACTTGGAAGCTCCCGTGTAGTTTGGGGCTTATTAGTTGTCCCTTTTGTACATGTCTTATCTATAGTCTTTTTCTTGGAAGCTCCAGAAGAAATATTTACTCGTCAAAATTTGGGTCTGTGTGGTAAGGACAGGCAGTTTTGTCCGTATCCATTGCGTGCATATAGACTTTATCTAACTGAAAATAGATTAGCTCGGTGGGCATAATAGGTAGTATGAAACTGGTGATCGTATATCGTTGTACTATGATCGATCTGTAGCTCACCTATTACTACAGATCATCTTTAGATTTATTTTTCTAGGACCAACTGAGAGCAATAACTGCAGAAGAGAAAGCAAGATGGAAATATTGCTGTCAGAATCCAAGAGCAACACATGGAATCTGCTGAAAATAGACGGGATATGGTTTCCAAACATGCAACGTGTACCTACTGGCTGCACAAATTTCCTTATTGAGTGATTGATATTTTCCTTGCCTTTTTAGCTGCCACTGCACAATGAACATATTTCCGGCAACTGAAATGACAAATTTGTCAATTTATATCTTTGTTGCTGTTCTTATTTGATTTGACATGGATCCTAGATATCCAACCAACAAGTATGTGGCAGTTTGTATCTTGGTATAAGGTATCACATCCTGAAATCCTGTTGAAGAGCTGTCTCCTTATATCTCCCATTCTCAATTTTTACTGACTTAATTCTGGAAAATGAAAACTACATCAGCATTTTGCTCTGGTTATGACATGAATACCCATCCTGAATCTTCTAAGAAAGGAACGCCCATTGTTGATATTCAATTAGCATGTGGCATTGTGATCTCGATGGCAAAATGAGTGTTATCCCATTACTCTATCTGGCACACAGTAAGAGGGTATGTCTTAAATTTACTGCAATGTCAAATGAGATTATTCATGCACACTTTCTTGTGGTCTGGATCCTCATTGGTGATCATCCCTGAATATACCATTAAATTTCTGCCAATTTGCTTTCATGGATAGCGTGGCAAAAGTCCCATAAGTATCAAGATGATGGGATGCATTTAATGCTATTATTTGAAACGTATTTCTTCATTATGAGTGTTCCACCTAAAGGTAGACTCTTTGTGTATTTATTAAGTTATGAAGTACAAAATCACCCAATGGATTTATCAATAAATTACATGGTATCAGATTAATCACTAGAGAGGATCCTGACCACCTTGAGTAATGGTTGCAAAGTTTGATGGGAGTTTATGAGCTTCCCAAACTTTGGGTTTTGGACAATTCAATAAACATGTCTTAGAAGAATTTTTTTTTTCTTATGCAACATGATTTTAATGTTGGATTTATTGCCGGTATATTAGGATTTGTTTTTTTGTATATGTTGGCAAGGGATGACTGCAGGGTTATAGTGAAAGTTGCATTTGCAGTTGCAGCATTAATATATTTGTGCTACACGTAGATAATAATGTGCATGCACGTATCATGTATGCATGTTATATGGATGCTTGTATAAGTGTTGCATTACATCTTCAAGGTGGTTAGGAGCCACTGAATTTTCTATTCATGGCAATGCCCTTTGTAACACAGGGATAAGCTTGCATGCTTTTTGTAATATGCAAAATTGCTATCATGTTTTGTAGTGTTGTTACAACCATGCATCATAAATACATCATGATGAGCATGTACTGATTGGTCCATTGGTTCTTCTTCTCTGCCTTAACCAAGAGGGAGAGGGTCCCTTCTCACCACCCTGGGCTATGTGCCCCCTGTAAAGGACTTGAACAAAAAGAAATGATTCAGGATATTTGATGGTAAGACAGATTTCATTGCTGAATCAAGGTTTGCCTAGTTAGATCAATTTCTTAACCTGTCAATCTTTGACAACATTGGAAATAATTATCGTTCAGTTTCAACTATTTAGATATAGCCTGATTTTATCAATTACCAGTAGCTCCATTAAGATAAAAGCATGAAAACTCTGAATTTCTTGGCACGAACCACAACTGATTGACAGCTGCGAAAAACAGGCAAGTTGAAGGGCTTTGGTTAAACAGTATATCTTTTGAAGCCAGATTATTTGGTTGACTTTTTTCTTTCTTGTCTGGCTTCTTCCCTGTTCCTTCTGATTCTTATATATCAAGTTGTTACATATCTTATCTACAACTTAAGAATGTAGTGCTCTCCCTTTGCGTGTTTTTCGTCTCCTACAGTAACCTTTAACCTCTTCTCTCTATCACTCGGTTAAGTATATTTCACCAGAGATGTTATTCTAGTCAAGGCAATGTGAGCAATCTTCCACATGAAGGAAACTGTAGTTACTAGTAGTTAATTTTGTTAACAACAAATATTCACTTAGAGGAGTCATAGTAAAAGTATCTGCTACTGCATATATGAAGATGCATTGAATTGTAGTCCTTTTGTGAGAGATTTGACATGGTCAAATGTATAATCAGAAACAAGTCAGTGGTGTTCTGTTTCGTTGGTTATTTTCAACCTATGATGTCTTATGCAGAGTTTAATCTGTGTAGTGTATGATTATGTAGCATTACCTGATGGAAATTTGTTGGCTTGTGTTTTAGTCACTTGTTCTGCTAAATGAGAAAAGAGATGCATGAATTAATGGAAAGATTCCCAAATTAGAAACTTCCTAGATATGTATAAACTATTTGATAGAGCCATATAATTCTTTCCATAAGATCTTGAAAAGAAATCTTACTTGATAATATAACTTTTCATTGAATGGAAAGTTATGAATTTGGAGATATTGACTGTTATATTACAGTTATAAACTCATCTTGTTTTCATAATTCTAGCCCCTCCCTTTTTCAAAAAAATAAATAATTCTAGTCACTCCCATATTTTTTGACCTGTTAGATAAGGGAACAACTGAGCTTTTGAGGTGAAGGAACCCCCTTCCATAAGATTAGATATGGTCCACTTTTACATGTTTAGTGGTCGTCCTCTTTCCAATGAGGAGAGCTCGTATACTTAGTAGATATCTTTAATTGTATATAGCTAATAATTTTGCATAGTTGGCAGCCTCTTAGTGACTTGTGAATAGCACAATCTTCTTCTATCTGAGGAGAAAAAAAAAAAATGATTACGTGATATTATACCCCGTGGTTAAACATCAATCTTTCATGTCATGGTTACTGTTAGCAACTTCCAATTATCTCCTCCTCAGTTGCGTAAATATTCCATCCTATGGTATGTGGTTGTTGTATTCCTTAAGTTTTGTTTAGCAGCTTGTACTCAATTCCTTGCGATTTATTTTTGGCTCAATAGTAGAAATTCATGATGCTTCCTCTCATAATTAAATAATGATCAATCTCATGTTATGTCTGTGAAGCTACAACGGATGCTCTCTGATTGCTTTTCTTGCTTGTCCATTTTATTAAAGCTGGGACATCTTTTCTTTTCCATCCAAAGTCAAGCTTTTTTATAATTTGTGGAGAATATACTATAACAATGCTTGTTTGGCAGATGACAACACCAATATCCATTGAGGATGTTCGTAGGGAGGTGAAAATATTGAAAGCACTATCAGGACATAAGCATCTGGTCAAATTTTATGATGCATGTGAGGATGCCAATAACGTGTACATAGTCATGGAGTATGTCTTTTCTTGTTTCCTATTCAGATTTGATCTTGGGATGTGGTTTAGCTTTTTGATGATGCTTATCTTGGGTTTATCTGTTCTTCGCTTTGCATACTGTTAACTGTTATGAACTTCCCAGAGGGGAATTTTGACTCTTATCATTTAAATAGCTTGCTTTATTGACTTTTTTTTTGCTTCATGCTATGACATTCTATTTAGTCTATGCTATTACACACTGGACATTTGGTCAAATGGTGTACTCTTTTACCTCTTTCTAAGAGCTTAAAGGTTTGAGTAACATGAAGTGTCTCCTCCATGTAATGGGCAGATAGAAAAAAAAAGTTAGTGTATTTATTTAAAAGAGTGAGGTATAGCATGTTAAAGACACTGGGGGTGGAAGGCGGGGGATCAACCGTTGAGAAAATAATTAGTTAGTTTAGTTGTTATTATTGCTTGGAGTTTTGAAATATTCCTATTATAACATTATATTTATATTACGTGTTTCCCAAACTAATCTGACATTTTCTTGAATTTTTATTTTGTATCAGACTCTGCGAGGGTGGGGAACTTTTGGACAGAATTTTAGCAAGGTATTATTTTACCCTGTGATATTGGCAATATTTATTTGTTCTATCTAGAGTTTTTATTTTTCCCAGGCTTAGATGGTACATTTTGTAAAAGTTGGCTATATATTGTCATAGCTGAGATATTAGTACCAGTTAAGATTTCTCAAATTTTCCTCTCATCAATTATCATTAGATTCAGTTACAAGCCACAGTGAAACTTTTTGGATTATCCTATCTAGGAAGTAGAATGTATAGATTTAAACTCTCTGGATACAAACACAGTGTCTTCATTTATCTGTATTGAGACATGAAATTCCTGTTCCTCAGAGGAGGAAGATATACAGAGGAAGATGCGAAAAGTATAATTGTACAGATTCTGAGCGTGGTTTCATTTTGTCATCTTCAAGGCGTGGTACACCGTGATTTAAAGCCAGAGGTATATGCCCTTTGTAATTTGTTGCATACTTAACTAATCAAGTTTGTCTTGCCTCTTTCTTTTCATATTCTTTTTGGAGATAGAGTTGGTGCAATTTTTTTGTTAAATTCTCTCCCACTTTTTACAATTATGGTATGCACTATTTCTCTTGATGTTTCCTTACAGAATTTCCTATTTGCTTCTGGTGGTGAAGATGCTGATATGAAGCTTATTGACTTTGGCCTCTCGGATTTCATCAGAACAGGTAAGAACTAATGATCATCCTTTATTGAGATTTTCTTGCTTCTATAAGTTTTTAAAGTCTGCACTGAGTTTATTGCAATGGATAAGCTTATTTAGTGATTCTCTCTGTACCTGGAGGAAATGTTTCTATATAAGTTTTAAGTTTCCATGTGTCAGCTGGATGTTCTATGCGCCGTCTTGGGAAAAAAAATTTACACAAACTAATGTTTAATGGTGTGAGCTATCAAATTGGAATTCAATAATGAAGCTCTGGTTATGGCATCTGCCTACTGGATGATGTTAATAAATAGGTCAATACTACTGTACCAATGTGTGGTACTCCCTTGGTACCTTGTGAATATACATTCTATACTTTTTATCTAAAAAATATATATATATAAAATTCTCTGTGAGTGATGACCTGACTGACATTACAAAGATACTTGCATTCACTTGAGTTGCATGTGTTCGCAATGATGATTTCCTCCTTAAGGTGGCATTTTTAAATGAACTTTCTTT